TTTGGAGCCGTCGGGGCGCCTGGGAGGGGGCGGCCAAGCAGGGCTCGTGTCGGCTCCTCGGATTCGATGCGATGCGATGTCGGCGGTTTGCGATCCCGATTCGGTTCGGCTTGGGGTTCCGGTGTGGGTGCCGGTGTCTCACTGGACGCGCACGAGCCCGCCGATTTCCGCCGATTCGATTCATGTCGATCGCCGATCCGACTTTATTGATTCGATTTTGGGCTCTCCTGACCAAGAGGGGGGTGATGGCTAAGAGGGGGGCGTGGGTATCATGGCGGGGGCCATGATATCTCCCCAGATCTCATGGCGCCTCTTCTTATGTCAATACGTCCGCAGCCCCCCCTGGACATGCCGCTGGCCATGATCATTAGCGCCCCCCGCCTCTTGGACGCCTCCCTCTTGGACGCCCCCGATGGGATGGCCCAGCACTGGTTCTGGCAAGCAGGAGGGTGGGCAGGTTCGAGGTTCGGGGTTCTCGGGCAGGTTTTTTGCCCCCTTCGGCATCCGGGAGCCGTCTTTGGGCCCCCGGACCGTCAGGAACGGATCCGGGGTGCAAGCTTGGGGTCCTGGGACCGATTTTGAACGGATTTGGCCCCATCCCCCCTTCTCACTGATTTTCTCGGGTCCCAACCAGTTCAGACCCCCTGAACCGAGGGAAGATGATCCCAATCTCGGTGATCATGGTAATTTTTTGTCTTCCTAGTGGGCCGAAGGTTCACCACCAAAACCAAAATCTAGGATCATCTTTCCTCTGTGGAGGCGACCCCTGGTATTGGTGTTGGTGCCCATCTCCAAGCCTCCAGAAACAGGCCGTGAGATCGGGTGGCCGTGAAGGAGACACCACGACTGGCGCATGTCAGCATGAAGGACAGGGTCGAAGAACACACATTTGTATAAACATACATTTTCGGAGCTCCGCGCGGATTTCTTGGATCGGCGCTGGCTCCCACCTGGCGGCGCCTCCAGCGTCGTCCCTGGCGCGTCCCGCGCGCGGGGAAGGGGGTCCAGCGCCGATCCATTAAATCTGCATGGACCTGCGAAAATTTAGGTTTATGGCGTTTTTTTTTTTTTTTTTTTTTTTTTTTTTTTTTGTTTGTTGTTTTTTTTTTTTTGTTTTGTTTTTTTTGTTTTTCGACACAGATCCAGTGGTCGTGAAAGCGACATCATGGCTGGTGCTTCTCAGCATGAAGGAACCCGGGGCTGGTGGCGCTCCCGCGGATGTCAAAAAACACGATCCCGGGAGTGTCAGAACACGACTGAGGATGATTGTGCGGCCAGGGAAAAGCTCCCTGGTTCATTAGCCATCTCCACCAGGACCCCCTTTCCTCGCGCCACGTTTCCGGCACCCCGTCTTGGGCACCGGGACCCTCACGGATCGATGATGCCCGCGAGTCCCGCAGGAGGACGCGGTTGGGAGACACCGTCGCGATTTTTCACGACGTCGAGGTCGTGTGTCTCTTTTCGCGACGTTGCTATCTCGGGGAATCGTGCCTCTGACACAGGGGGCAGACAAGATCTCTCTCTCTCTCTCTGCCCGTAATTCGGCTCTGCCTGCCGTCTGCCCAGTGCACTGTCCTCCACTTGGAGAGCAGAAGAGGGAGCACCTGCTCCGTCGTCTACTCCTCGGGGGCCCTCTACTGCATTCCCCCTCCTCCTCCTCCTCCTCCTCCTCCTCCTCCTCCTCCTCCTCCTTCACCCCGCCGCCCTTTTCTGTCCTTTGCTGCGCCGTCTTCCCTCCCTCTCGGTCCTTCGCTCCTGAGTGCTGCCGCTGCGGATGCTGCGCCTCCCCCGCTCCCCCGCCTTCTGTCGTCGCACGGTGCCCCGACTCACACGAATGAAACAGCGGCTGCGCCTGCCGCCTTCAACTTCGGCGCCTCCATCGAGAGGTGCATCAGGCCAGGCGCGCCCCCGCTGCCGCCCCGCCGCGGGCTGTAGTAGCAGGTGACCAGGACTCTTCCTACGCTCGTCTCCTCCTCCTCCTCCTCCTCCTCCACCTCCTCCTCCTCCTCTCTTTTTCCTCCTCCTCCTCCCGCTGGTTCCCCCTCTCCTTGTCCTCGTCCTCGTCCTCGTCTTCCACTTCCCCCGCTTCCTCTTTGGCTCGGCAGCCGCTTGCGCAGCATCGCGGCGAAGTCGGGAAAACACTGTTCCCCCTGCGTGCGCCAAGGTGAAGAAGCAAGGCAAGGGAAGCAGTCTCGATAGGGCACCCCCCAGAGTCAGCCTCATCCGCTTGCGTAGGACCGCGCCGAGATAGAAGGCCCTGGAAGATTTTCATGCGCATCCGTGCAGCCGACGAGAAAGGCGCACGGGGGAGGCCAATGTCGAAAAACAGCTGGAAGGCACATGTGGGCGGGTGTGTCGGGAGACACGCTCGAAGGGCGAGAGGCCCTCGGACGAGGATGACAGCCCGTGGAACTCGCCTGATACCCAGCGCCCCCGCACCCAATGGCGGCCACGAAGCGACCGAAGGGGGCGCCAGCCAGCCAGCCCCATCCGGGCCAGACAGGTGAAAAAGGGGCGAGGTCGCAAGGTCTTCACCGCGGGATGTCCGGACAGCGTGAGCGGGCCCGAGAGATGCCCGCCAGGGAGAGGCGACCGAGGCCCACCGGCACCCACGAAACAACATGCCACTACCGTCTAGATGGATTTTTTTTTTTTTTTTTTTTTTTTTTTTTTTTTTTTTTTTTTTTTTTTTTTTTGTTTTTTTTTTTTTTTGTTTTTTTTTTTTTTTTTTTTTTTTTTTTTTTTTTTTTTTTTTTTTTTTTTTTTTTTTTTTTTTTTTTTTTTTTTTTTTTTTTTTTTTTTTTTTTTTTTTTTTTTCTTTTTTTTTATTTTTTTTTATTGTGTGTTGTTGTTGTTGTTGTTGTTGTTGTTGTTGTTGTTGTTGTCATACTTTTTACCCAACCAAGCAACACATTATTGGTCTTAGTAGTCTTATTCGTATTACCACATTGTTACTGGTGGCCATGCACTACCACTAAAGCGTTGCATTGTTATATGATTTCTGGTGGCCATGCATGCAGCATCGCCTTCTGTTGTATGGCTGCTGGTAGCCACATAAGAAACACCACGCGTCTTTTTAAGGCTACTGGTGACCACAAAGCGTCGCACGTTTCTTATGGTTGCAGGTTGCCGGCGCGCGCGATTTGAAACCGAAGAGATTCGGGGCCCAGCTCCGAGTGAACAAAAAACGAGGAACATCCGTGCAGACCTTCGGAGGTCCGTGCGGATTTCTCGGGTCAGCGCTGTGCGCTCCTGCCGGCGTCTCCGCCTCCGCCCTTGGCGCGCCCCGCGCGCCAAGGATGGTGGAACCCAGCGCCGATGCGAGCCGCGCGAGCCTCCCCACAACTTCTGCTCATCTGCCGTTTTCTCTTCTGCTCATCCGAGGCAGCGTCTCCCCGTCGGGCCCCTCGGGGCCCGACGGGGCGGCAGGCCCGGCGAGATCGTGTCGGGCCGCAGCCGCGCGCCGCCGCGTTCGCCCGACGGCCCGGGGCCGACGGGCGGGAGGCCCGCCCGCGGCGGTGCAGCCGCCGCTCCTGCCAGCGTGCAGGCCTTGCGCGCGCCCCGCGGCATCGGAGGAGGGCCGCGCGTGCGCCGCGCCCGCCGCCGACGGGCGCCCCGGTGCCCAAGGTAGCTCGAGCGAGCCGAGCTACGCTCCCCCTCTTCCCTCTCCATCCTTCCCTCCCTCCCTCCTCTTCCTCCTCCTCCTCCTCCTCCTCAGTTTTCCTCCCTCCCTCCTCCTCCTTCTGTTCCTCATCCGCTTCCTCCTCCTCTTCCTCCTCTTCCTCCTCCATTCGTTTTCTTTATAAATGATTCTTCCTGGTCGCACCCCGAAATCAGTCGGAAGGGCAGGCAGGGAATTTCGCCTGAAATTTCCTTACCATTCATATAACTCTGAAGCTGAAGCATTGGCAACCGTTTCGCACATGGAGGGCGGGTGGTTTTCAAAATGTCTCTCTCGCCTCAGCGCCGCGCGCGCTTGTTCCTTTCCTAAATTTTGCAAGAGTTTCACGGGTTGAGGGAAGGTCGTTTGCAACATGTATCTCTCGCCTTGGCGCCGCGCACACTCGTTTTCAACATGCGCAAGCGTTTCACGGATTGAGGGTGGTTGCATTTTCGAAGTGTGGCTCTCGCTTCAGCGCCGTGCGCATCCTAAACAATTGCGAGAATTTCATGGGTTGATGGCGTTTCTTTTTTCAAATTGTGATTCTCGCCCCAGCGCCGCGCGCATTCGTTTTTTCAAACTTGCAACCCTTTCACGGAATCTCATGCTGAACGTGCTACATGGCGTTCTGGAGAGATTCAGCATTGTTTGGGCGCGACTATTCTATTGATTCGCGGTGTTCAAGTCCCAGAAACAGTGTTCTGGCACGAGTCAGGATTGCCAAGACGCAACAGTCAGGTTGATTCGTGGTGTTGAATATCGGAGAATGGTGTTTCACCCAGTGGGGCACAACCCTCAGTGGAAATGTATTCTGTGCAGGGGCCTATGCAGAGGGAGTTTAGGGGGAGGATTTCTTCCAACATCGTTGATGGGTCTTGGGTTTGTTCTGGTCCTCCTCATTCTCCTCCCACGCTCCCTCCCTTCATTCCTCCCTGCCTTCCTGTCTTCTTCCCTCGCTCCCGCTTCCTGCCTTCTTCGCTCCCTCCCTTCCTCTCTCTCTCTCTATATCTCTCCTCCCGCAAGGATCGGGGATTGAATCTGTGTTGAGGCGAATTCTGCCCACATTGGAAGCATCTGGAGGCCTCTGCCTCGCCCCTGTCAGCCATACCCTCCGACGTGGTTTATTGATTTTGCCGTGGTCCCGCGGGTATCTTGACTTTCTCCCTGGGGCCAGCTTTCCATCCTCAGTCGTTTATGATGGTCCCTGGGCCTGGACACTGCTCTGTGGGGGCCGAAGCGATGGAACAACCGCTGCGCTGTTTTTTGTGCGACGCCCGTATCCGAGGGTCCTTGCCAGGTGTTTTTTTTTTAAAATGAAGATCCCTGCGCGCAAAGCTTCGGGGGATTTGTTCAAATATGACGCGTTTCGCTTGAGGAGTCGGCTGTGGCCACGTGATATGAAGCGAGTGGGCGTGTGGGGACTGATCTGTGGGGTGGGTGGCCTTCGTCTGCTCTTGGGAAGATGGATGCCTCTTGCGGTCTTTGCCGATGCCGTTCGGGGCCTCTGGGGATGCCTCTCGGGGGCCTCTTGGAGGTCTCGGGGGTCTCTGGGGCCCCCTTGAGGGGCATCTTGTGGCCTCCTGGGGGCCTCTTGAGGGCCTCCTGGAGGCTTTTGCGGGGCTACTACGGGCTCCTCGGAAGCCTCTGCGGGGATCTTGGGGCCATCTTGGTGCTAAGGGCTCGAAATGTCAGCTCTTGCTCTCCCTCTTGGGGCCGTTTTGGGCGGCTCTTGGGCTCGTCTTGGGGACCTCCCGGGCTGTCTTGGGGCCCTCTTGAACCGTCCTGGGGTCCTGATGCGAGCCTCTTGGGTCGTCTTGGGGCGGTCCTGCGGGCCTTCTTGGGGAGCTTGGGACCGTTGGGGGGATTTGTCTCCAGGCCAGCTTGGGGCGTCGTGGGCCATGCGGGGGCACGCGAGGAGACGCGGCACACCCGGGGAGGTCCGTCATTTTGGGGTCTGACTCAGGGGGCCTGAAAACAATACGCCTTCTCCTCCTCCTCCTCCTCCTCCTCCGCCTCCGCCTCCGCCTCCTCCGCCTCCTCCGCCTCCGCCTCCGCCTCCGCCTCCTCCTCCTCCTCCTCTTCCTCCTCCCCGCCCCGAATCATCTCCTCCCAAGCCCTCCCAAGCAGTCCTTCATTGAGAATACAAGAACCCGTAACCCCACTAACACTGAAGGCGTGGCCTCACTGAGGTCCCCGTCTCTGCATAAGGAATCGTCGTTCTGGGCTGTTTGGTTGGATGCATCTGCAGAAAAGGAACCCGCATCCCTACTGTTTTTGGCCCTCGTAACTTAGGTCCCCTCCCAAAGGATTAGGGGCTCTTTTTTGGTTAATCATCCTTTCCGTCACTGCACGAAGCGCCCTTTTGAAAACCATTGCCCCACAGGCTCTCAGTATAGGCGGGAGCTTCGTTTCGACAAGAAGGCCATCGCCGTCCGTCGAGCTGATCACAAGGAGTGCGACGAGGTGGGGACGCCAAGTTAAGGGAACTGACGAGCGGCAGCCCCGCTTCGAGATGGAAACGCCCTCCATCTTTGTAGCAGTTGCCCCTTCTTGGTGTCTAAGACGCCTACGGCGAATCACCACCGCCCTCCACCTTCTGGAAACGCCCATCCAGCCAAACGTTGGGCCGAAGTCTGGCTAAATTATTGGACTATGTGTTCCCCCAGCCGCTGTGGACCCCCTCGGGGGAACTACGATGTTTCTTATGCGACGTTTCTTCTGTCTGCTTGTGTCTAGCTGTCCTTAGGACTGGCGACGACGACGAACACGACGACAGCGCCTCGCACACGCCGGCCCGGTCGGCGGACTCTTCTCGAGGCCGGAGGGTCGCGCCGCGTCGTGAAAGCATCGGCGGTGCGGCGCGATCCCGAGCCCGAGCGTCTGCACCCCGCCGTCGTCCGTGCACGGGCCGTGCGGCGCCGGCCCCGGCCCCTCTTGCTCCCGCCCCGGCGGCCTTTGTGGCCCCGGAGGCGGAGGCCTTCTTGTCGGACCCGTTGGGGCGCGCCGCCTTTTCTCTTTTGTGCGCGGCGGCTCCCCGAGGCGCGCCCCGTGTGGGGCAGCCGTGCACGCCCCTCGGGGCGTGTACGGCGCCGGCCCTGGCGCCCAGCTCTCCGCGGGCGCCCCAGACGGGGGGCGGGACGCTCCGCGCCCGCCCCGCCCCCGCGGGGAGGGCCGCCCGAGCCGGCCAGAGCGGCGCCGCGGCGGAAAAGGGCGAGTCGGCCGCAGGTGGGGGCCCAAAGGACATACACCACCACCACCACCACCACCACGTCGATTCCTCTTCTCTCCTCTCTCCAGCGAGAGGGGAGGGGGGCAGGGAGGTGGTGGTGGTGGTGGTGTGTACTGTTGGGCCCCCCAGCAGGGGCGCGGGGGTCGCTGCGCGTCGCGCCGCGCGGGGCGCGCAGCCGGGCGGCCCTGGAACGGGGGCGGCTCTTCTGCGCGCTCGGCGCTGGCGGGCCGTTGCCCGACCCAGGACCGTCAGCAAGCGGCTCTGGATGAATAGCTGGCCGCGGGAGCGGGGCTCCTCCTCCTCCTCCTCCTCCTCCTCCTCCTCCTCCTCCTCCGCCTCTCCCTCCTCCTCCTCCTCCTCCTCCTCCTCCTCCTCCTCCTCCTCCTCCTCCTCCTCCTCCTCTCCCTCCTCTCTTCCTCCTCTCCTCCTGTTGCACGACAGGTCATCGCGTTGTCCTCCTCTCCCTCTCCTTCCCCTCCTCCTCCTCCTCCTCCTCCTTCTCCTCCTCTTCCTGCTCCTCCTCCTCTCCCTGCTCCTCCTCCTCCTCCTCCTCCTCCTCCTCCTCCTCCTCCTCCTCCTCCTCCACGTCTCGAACACAAGTGCGACGTCGGAGGAGAGGGTCCCATCGGGAGGGGAGCAGCCGTGACCGATTCGCCCCCCGAAAGGCTAGGGGGGGAGGGCAAGGACTCAATGATGCGGGCCCTCCATACCAACAGGGCAGCTATACACCACGGTCCCTGGCCAGGGCCGTATCGGGTCCCAGGCTGGAATTGGCCTCCCCCGTCGCCGTCGCCGTCGCCGCCGCCGCCGCCGCCGCAGCCGCCACCGTCGTCGTCGTCGTCGTCGTCGTCGTCGTCGTCGTCGTCGTCGTCGTCGTCGTCGTCGTCGTCGTCGTCGTCTCCTCTGGAGGTCTCTTGAGGTTTGTGTCAAGGTCCTCAGAGGCCTTGCGAGGTCTCCAGGGGCCTGCGGAGGCATCCAGATGTCTCCAGGTGCTCGATGCCTGCCGCCCCTCGCATCCTTCTTGATCCTCCCACTTCCCACGCCTCCAGAGTTAAAAACATCCAAACAATTCGCCGGCCCAACGGGCCAGAGGCGTGCTAAGATCTCCGGTAACTGGTTAACAATATTTCTAGTTCGCGCTCGCGGGGCGGCCCCTGGGGGTCCCCCGGCGAAAAGTATCCCGACCGCAGCCCGAGCAGGTCTGCTCTGAGATGGTTTTGAGGGCCTTTTTTCGACACCCCTCACGAGGATCGTGGCCTCCGAGGGGGGTGCACTCGACTACCCCGCCCCAAGAGGCCCCCAAGAGCCCCCCAAGAGGCCCAAGGGTGCCCCAAGACGCCGCCAAGGAGCCCCAAGAGACCCTCCGTAGCCATTTTGGCTCAAGCCATTTTTAGTCCAAGCCATTTTGCCCCAAAGTGCCACGATCCTTCGGCGAGGTCGAAGCAGCAGCAAGGTGAAAACATGTGTCGCCCCACAGGGCTCACGGACAGAGACGCGAGGCGTGGAGGCGCCGTGGACTCTTTGTGCACGAGAATTACGACGCAGATGTTTAGCTCATCGATGCCCAGATCGTGGCCCCGCCCTTCGTTGGCCGGGGTGGTCGGTGCCCTCGCCCTCGACGCTCCAGCGCAGACGTTACAGAGTGGTGAGGTTCAGCAGCAGAGCCTGGAGCAGTTGAGGCAGGACGCGCAGAGGATGAGGGACAGTTGGTACGCCTGGAAGACCAACAGCGCACAGTGAGCCAGATCTCTCACGCGCTCCGCTCGGCAAACATGTGACACGTCATTTCTGCATGAACCTCTGCGGCGCACCTGGCCCTGCCTCTCTTTCGCGGTGCACCCGCCCTCTATTGCTTCGCAGTTCGTATCTGTAGGGTGAGGAGCCGCCCCCCTTGGCTCGATGCTACCAAGGCGCAGCATGGTTTTGCTGGGCGCGGCATTTGAATAGCAAGCATCGGCCCTGCGTGGTTGATAAGTGCATGAATTCGATTGCCCCGAGGCGCACACGTGCACGCCTAGGCCAGAAGGTTTCGCGCATGGCTGAAACCATTTGTTCAGGAGGGAGGGCATTTAATGGTGATGGATAGTTGGCCGTCCAGAATGGAATTCACTCGGCATACGAGAGTAAAGATCACCACCAGAGTTTGCGCGGCTGCATGGCATCTCTTGTAAAGGCAGGGGTCCGCAGCTCCTGCAGGAAATTTACTGGAAAACCAGTCATACATATGAGTACCTCATGTAAGTGCAGGTTGAGCCGTCTTGCGCTTGCGACGCATTCGGTTTTCGCCATTCAAGGCAGTGGCACTCAAAGTTTGCAAGATAAGTGAGTGAATCAGAGAAGTCAGACTCCAGCATTTACAGGTCGCCACTCCCACGAGGCTGGAGCATCAGGCGTAAGTGGAGAGGACCACCCTTCAAGCCGTCCTTCAATCATAAAAAAGGAGCCCCAAGAGACCCCCAAGAGGCCCCCAAGAGGCCCCTAGGAGGCCCCAAAGAGGCCCCCAAGAGGCTTCAAAGAGGACCCATAGAGCGCTCGAGGGCCAGCGGAATGAGCGAAGCGATTAATAAGAACATAAAACAATAAACACATTCAAAAACAGCCAGAATAAACTAGACATGCAACAATAACAACAAGAGAGTCCAGAAGCTGGTCCTGATGTGTACGCGTTCGAGGATTCCAGGGCTGAGGCCCTGCCTCGCGCCCCGCTCCGGGCTGGCTGGCCTGCAGAGCATGTCTCTCTCTCTCCCTCTCTCCCTCTCCGTATCTCCCTTTCTCGCTAGACTCCTCTCCCTTCTTTCTTCTCCTCTCCATCTTCCTCTTCCTCCCCATCCCTTTCTTTCTTTCTCTCTCTCTCTTTTTTGTTCTCTCTCTCTATATCTCTCTCTTACTCCTCTTCCTCCTCCTCATCTTTCTCCCTCTCCCTTCCTCTTCCCCTTCCCGGTCCCATGCCCCTCCCTCTGCCTCCTCCTCGTCCTCTTCCTCCCCGCCCCGCCCTCGGCCCCCCGCCGCCCCCGCCAGTGCACGATCAAGTGCAGAGTGACCCTGAGCTCGCCGATCACGAACGTGACCGCCGTACGCAAGGAGGCCCACCGCCCAGCTGGCGCCGCCCGCGCTCGGAGGCGCGCACCGGGAACAAGCAGTGTCAGCGACGCCTGTTCGCTTGGTATCGCTCGGACGTGCGCACTTTTTCTCGGCGGGGGTTATCGAGGAGCATCCTGGGATCATCCTGCGAACAAAGCCACGCACGAAGCCGAACAAAGCACAGGGAACGGACGTCCGAGCGACGCGCGTTCGCTCCTAACTCAGTATCGCTTCAACGACCCCCATCCCCATCCTCATCCCCTTCGAGGCTCCCACCAAGTTACCACCCCAGCTTGGGATATGCACCCCTCGGAGCCCGAAGGGAACGGCCCATATCCCCCTATCTAGGGGGGTGAATCGGCCAGTGGGGCCCAGGCCGCGCCGCTGGGGATGGGGATCGTTTGAACGATACTCATTAACCAGCCGGCACGTGTGCGAGTTAGAGCTGGCTCGCGTGCGCGGAGCCCCCTTCTCTCCGATCTCCTGGTGCCTCTGACGCGTGTTGGTTTCTGGTTGGCTTTGTGCAGCCAAGTAGATCGACGAGAGGCCCAATACTTCTGCATACGCCGCAGTGGTGTTGTCAGGCCTCTGACAACCGACGGTCGGACCAGCACTGTCTTCCTGGCGGCAGGCGCGCGGCTGGCGCCCGGCTGGCCTTTAGAGCAGCGTGCAGCATACATCCCTGGTGTAGAGAGAGAGAGAGAGAGAGAGAGAGAGAAAGAGAGAGAGAGATAAATATACACATATATATATGTATATATAAATACTGAGAGATAGATAATGAGGTAGAGAGAGAGAGAGAGAGATAAGGAGAGCGAGAGAGAGAGAGAGAGAAGAGAGAGTGAGCGGGGTGTCAGGTAGAATACGCAGCGAATCCAGTTTGCAAGTCATTGCTGTGGATTCGCTGCTTGCTTCAAGGTCGGGCCTGTCTCGCTCAACTTCGAGATCCCGATGTACAACGTGTCGAACTTGCAGGTGGGAAGCACGAGGGACGCCGCCACGCGCGGCGGCAAGGGTACTTCTGCTCTGAACTCGTAGGACTCGCCCATGAAAGAGGATTCCCATCATGTGTGCAAACACATTGTCTTCCCCTCCTCTCTCGTCCTCAATCGTCGCCTCCTCCTCATCCTCTTCCTGCCCCTCCCTTCCGTCTCTTTACCTCCTCCTCCTCCTCCTTCTCCTCCTCCGGTCTCGCGTGACTGCAGCATTTGGGGCCATTCTCCAGCTCTCGGGGAGCATGTGGACTCTGACCAAGGGACCAGGTTTCCACGACCTTCTGTAAAGCGACTGCATCCAACGTGTGCATTACTATGGGTTATGGGGCAGATATGATGAATCGCAGCCACTGTTCAGGCAGGAGCTGAAGCTATGGGCCTGATTGAACTCTCTTTCCCGCCGCGTCAGACTACTCGAGCAGTACGGGCACTGCAAGAGGGATAGCCGGAGGAGAAGGTGGAGGAGGATTACCTCAAATGTGGTCGTTGCTCTGGGACTCGTGGGGCCGGTTAGCGTAGCGTAAAGCAGATTCTTGCATTTTGGAGGCGGAAAACCAAGCGAGGCAGAGTGATGCCGAACAGAGTTGGTCGAGGAAACAGAGGGAGCGGCATGGCTGAGATAATGTGCAGTGTATAGTGCTAGGAGCTGACGTGCACCAGGAGGCCTCTGTCACGTAGCCCAGCAGTCTTAGTTGAACGAGGAGGACGGCGACAGCAGAGCAAAGGTGGAAAGCGTGCAGCGCGCTGCAAGATTTGGTCGCCAGGTCCAAGGTAGAACGGTGAAGCGGGCTGCTTTTCGTACAGCGGATCAGTGGGGCGCTCGGGGGAGGGGAAGGACCACCGCTCCGCGAGCAAACTGCCATCTGGCACACTGCAGATACGAAATGGTGTTGTGAATGCAG